GGTGGGACATCAGCATCTCTGTTGACTCAATTTTGATGTTTCACAGTACCACCTACTGCATAAGTGGTGATAAATGATCATTTATCATTAGCCTCTCAGGTATGGCTTGCTTTCTCCTGTTCACTGAAGAAAAGTAGAGCAAAGACCGTGATCCATGGGCCTTCCCATGGATGTGCTCGTGTCTGTCCTGGCGGCAAGTGGCTTTCTGGTTTAGAAAGCTCTGTTTCTCTCTCCATCAGCTGCTCTCATGGGGAATCTGTGGCACAACTTATCTAAAGCTCATTCCTGGCTGAGAGGAGCCTTTCCCCGCTTCTCCTGGTGTGGAAATGCTTTTGGTGAATGTCTCTGCTTTGCAGTGAAGGACCAGGACTGCTGGTGCTGGCTGACTTCTGGGACATTGCTGTGGCATGTCATAGTGCATTGTGTCTCTAGGGATTGGGACAAAGTCTCAGTTCTCCAAGGAGTTCAGGTGCACATGAAAACATAGTGGGGGGGTCACAAATTCACTATTGCTCTTTTGCTTTACAATACCATGCTAAACCTCTGCCTCAAAAAGACCTTTATAAGTGAGGCAGACCATCCCTAAAGGAGCTGTCTCTGTTCCACCAGGTGAATAACAGCTTCGTGACTTATCCTAAGCATATCAGCTCATGCAGGTAAATGTTCATGTCCATATCCATGTCTTTCCTGCTGCTTGTTCTCCCCTCCCTCCTTGTTAGTCATGCGAGAGCTTCATCATTGCTGCTCTATAGCCAAAAGCAGTTTCCAGCTGAGGGTTCCTCTGGGAAGCAGCTCTTGCTCCCCCAGGGGAGTGAGACTGGAAAATAGCTGTGTTAATTTGTATTTTTCACCTCCTCCTTTTAAGCTTTATCTTTTCAATTACAAGTTGTAATAAAATCCATTTTCCGACATGGCAATTTCTCCCGTGTCTCTCAAGGGAGCTGGGCTAGGGTGAGGTACCAGCACTGAGTTAGATAAGACCAGGGTGAGGAATGGCTGAAGCCGCTCTGCACTTCTAGGGCCCTACTTACTTGATAACAAAGTGACAAATAACTCACTGTTATTTTTTAGAGGAGAATAGAATAGAAGCATAGTTCTTTTATTTTTCCTCAGATGGGATGTTTCTCAGAGCGACAACATGCCTCTGTCCCTTGTCAAGGATGGCGATGCTGCGAGCGGTTGGGGGGCTCCAGCGAGCTGGCTGCAGCATGGGAAACATTCGGTAAAGCAGAAGCTGAACTATTCCTGTGCTGGTCTGCGTTAGACAGAGCCCTTCCTTACTGCTGGATGCAGACACATCCTTCTTTACCCTCCACTCAGGAAGCCTTGGCTCCAAACGTTGCACAGGGCGGGATAATATAAACAAATGAGCTAATCTTTCCCCTGGGCTGAGGTGTCCTTTTGGTCTGTTCTGTCTTTGGAGAAGTCTTTGGGGGAACAGGCCTTACCTCCATCCATGCCAGGAATATCCAAGCAACCTCTGGCCCTGGGGCATTTTCTGTTAGATGAGGAATTACCTTGTTTTTACAGTTTTGTGTAAGTTAAAGGACATTTAAAGCATAACATTTTGAATACTAGGTATTTTTTTAAAAGTAACTGGTATTTTCAAATTCATAAGAGAAAGCTCATTAAATCAATTAAGGTCAACTCTGTCCAACTGATATTTAAGTTTAATAAGTCACGAAAAAGTCTTAGGGAATTCAATGTCATCTTCAGACAAACCAATATTCTTCCCAGGCAGATGCTTTAAAAATGTCTGTAAAATCCTGATCCCTTCTATTTGTGTTTTATGTGAGCTGTCAGAGGAAAGAGTAGGAGGTCATGCATAAAAGTATCTGTGAATCCTGTCAAATACATTATGAATGCCAGCTCAGCAAGAAGCGAGATGAACTAAGATCTTTCTCAAGCTGGCAACAGGTTTTCAGAAGGGATAACTGATTATTTCTGATGTTTTTCCATTAATGACTCTAGTGTGCAAGCAGAGTCATGCATGCTGTATAACTTCTTTGAATGGACAGAATTATCTTAACTGAAACTTTTCTGTCATGTAACGAATCCCAGCAGTGATAGATTCTGCACCGCAACTATTTCCTTTGTAACAACATAGACATATTTGCAAGAAGTCCAGGTTCTTAAGTTTTCTTATGAAACTATTTGACACTGAGTTTCCTGGGCACAATTCCAAGACATAAAGTATAGGAAAGTGTAACCTCTGAGCTCTCTGCTTTGGTGAGAATACATTTAGCCAAATCTCTAAGGAAGCTCCACCGCTTACTTGTACAATCCTATTTATTATTGAATAAGACGGGACCTATTTATTCACCCCAGTAGTGATCTGTATTTCCACCTTGGAGCTACAGCAGAAAATAAATGGTGCAGTCTGACCTGTACGGGGAGCTGGTGAGGGAGAGGAAAAGTTGCAAAAACTTCTGGATGGCATTTATTCTTTCCATCTGCACCTGCTGGCAGGTTCCAGCCCTTCATTTTGAGTCAAAGAAGCTGTGGGCAGTCAGGAATTTTTGCCTCAAGCTGTTAGTGGATTTGCTAAGCTACGTAATTTTGTGGAAAACCAGTGCATCTCCTCTGGGATATCAGAAACAACAGATGGTTTCCCAGGTGTTCAGCAGAACTGCCTTGTTCCAGTGTAGATGTCGCATTTTGTGTCTGATGCTTCCTTGAGATTTCACTTATAAGAACTGATGCAAAAATCCTAAATATATAGTAGCTGTTGTATTCTCGGATAGCATGTTAGCAAAGTTTGATGATATAAATGGGTTCCTGAACACTTTGCTGTTATATAGTTCATCAATGGTTGTTGGGTTTTTTGTTTTGTTTTGTTTTTAAAATAATTTTTAAATTCAGCTATTTTGTCAAGATAAAATTTAGTCTTTCCTCATATTTCATAGATTCTCTCAGCCTTAAACATTAAATGTCTTATTACAGCTGTACAAAACTAAACTATGTGAGTAAAGGAACCAGAAGGCCTTATGGCTTCTATTTAAGGTAAAGCATATGTCAGGGATCACGTTTATAGTAGCTATGATGAAGCACAGATGTGAGTTTCCCAGTTTATGTCCTAAGAGCTGAACTGCCTGGTAAGGACAGTGTTTGTGGGAGATGATTGTTTTAAATGCAGTTTTTGAGTGAGTCTAGAATTTCTTAGAGCTCATGGAGGTGAGAAGGTGTTTGCCTTAAGTACATTTACACATGATTCAGAGAGGTGCTGTCAGCTCACATGGACAAAACCGAAATACTCATGTCTGCAGCCGTGAACCTTGGCCTTAACCAGCTGGGACAAAGGACCGCTCTGTGCCGCTCTGCCCCGGGAGGCTGTGCAGACCCGGCAGAGGAGGACCAGACCCAGGTCCCTTCCTTGGGGTGCTGCCACCGACGGCCGTGTCCCGCTGCGTGGTGCGAGCTGTGGGCCACTGCGGCAGGGCCGCCATCCCACGCCTCCCACCCGGCACGGGCTCCGCTCCAGGGGAGCAGGGGGCTCAGCCCCGGTTTGGGAACCGGCCCCGTGCTGCAGGAGAAGAGCAGCCGTGTCCTGCTGAGCCTCTTCCACACATGACATGATTGCTTTCTAGCAGCTACACCCACTCCTGCCTCCTGTCAGTTAATTTTACGAGAGGCTTGTTATACTTGCTCAGAGTCATTTTAGTTGTGACTACTTACACAATTCAGAAATACACAGGGCACTGGCCCTGTTCCACAGGTCTCAGGCAGCGAATTAAGTAGCTGCTGTCTGTTTCATGTGGCGCCGCAAAACATTTATGGTCCAAGCATACACAATGATAGAGGCAAGTAAGAGGCAATGGTTATTCTGTACAAACTTTTGGAGGGTTTGATTTTTTTTTTGCTTGTCTTTCTGTCCTGTCTTGCACTTAGGTAATTTAAGGAGTATGGCTTTACTGGTCACTACAATAACACAGCAGGCAATCAAGTAATTTTCTGTGAACTCACAGCAATCTGTGACTGACTGAATCGTCCATAGTCCTGTCACTGCAGACTTAACTCCAGAGCAAAACCTGTTTTCATCTTCAGGGACCGGTATTCTTTGTGATTTTGAACTCTTGGAATTTTGGCTTGGGTGGGAATCTGGGAATTAAGACACTGTAAGAAAAGAACTAAAAATAGCCAATGTTTTCACTTTTTGAGGTGCTGTGAATAATTTCACAGCCTAGATCATCTATCTATCTATCTTCCTTTTTTCCTGATTCTTCAGCTGTAGATATGGAAGCTCTTTCCTCTCCAGAAAAAAATTAAATGCTGAAATACATAGCATATGAGGTAGAAGTGACTCAGAGAGTCAGAGAACATATACAGCTTCTGTGCTATTCAGAATAAGGAAGAATGTGTAGTACTTGCTGTACAGCCTCCTTCTATGTTTGGTTTCACTGCATCAGCAGCTTGTAATTTATTTTTTTTTTAATTGTATTGGTATTTACTTTTTATTCCCGGTGGGCACATCTGGACAAGATGTGAGCATTGATAGTACAACAACAATCTACTATCAGGATCATGGTAGATAGATAGATTTTTTAAATATAGTGTCTGAACACCTGTGGTATGAAGCAAAAAGGCTGTTTCTGCCAGTACAGCACTGAAGCTTGTTTCTATCATGCAGTTCTGCAAATCTTCTCACTTTCAGACTCAGCAGTTTGCCAATACCACAAAACAAACCAAGGATGATATTTTATGGCCAGTCTAAGCATTGTGGTATAAAACGTCATAGCTCTGGCCATCTGGAGACACCCATTTCTCCCCAGATGTGTCTGGGGCAGGAAGCGGTCCCAAATCTCTCAGGGGATGCTCACTTGGGTTTGACTCTTGCTTGCAGAAGCTGCTAAGAGCTCTCCATTAGTCATGATATAAGTCAGTTTGGACCATTTCTTCCCTTTACTTACAGCTTTCTCACCACCCTTCTTTTCTTTCCCTTTCTTTTCTCCTTTCCCATTCCTCCCCTCTCCCTGTCGCTGTTGTCTTCTCTCCCTCTGTAGAGCTCTCCGTCAGCCTCCTTGCAGTGATAGTTATTGTGTGTGGACTGGCCCTGGTGGCAGTTTTTCTGTTTCTCTTTTGGAAGCTGTGCTGGGTTCCCTGGAGGAACAAGGCCATTTCTTCTAACCTGGCCGTCTTGCAGAGCGAGGCAGGCTGCAATAAGGAGAACATGGCAGACAAGCTCAAGGACACGGGTGCCATAAGTTTCCTGGAGGCAGCGGTGAAGATCAGCCACACATCACCAGACATCCCTGCAGAGGTCCAGATGTCCATGAAAGACCACATAATGCGACGCACGCGGATCCAGAGGCAAACAACGGAGCCTGCGTCTTCCACCAGGTGAGCGGGAGGCAGTGCTCTGCAGGGATGCTGCGCCTTGGGGCGGCTGGCAGAGCGGGAGAAGTGTTTAATGGAGCCTGAGGTTCAGATACCTTCAGGGAGGCTAAAGAAAGCACTCCCACTTACATGCTGGATTACTTTCCAAAGATTGGTCATTAACCAGTTAATGTGTTAAGACTGGCTTACCGTAGGCCCCTTTAAAAAAATCAAGGATTCAAGCCCTATTACTGTGACTTGACCTCATTGTGTCAAGCCGTCAGTATGCTTTGGCCACTTTAATTTTGCTCCAACATGAGAGGCAGGCTGAAGTATCAATGATGGTATGCTGTCAGACAGAATTAGACCCTTTTGCTCTCTCTTGTTGTTGTGGCTCCTAGCAGAAACAATTAGATAAGCAGAATTGACATATCGCTCACTGCTCAAGCTTAGAACCAGCTGTGCTCAGTGCTTGTGCTCAGTGCGTGTCTCTGTCTCAGCTAGGGACAGAGATGTCAACATCATACTCAGTAAATCAGGATAAGGCTGTATGAACCTTGGGACATCTTCTCGGCAAGAATACTGAGAAATACGGTACTCTTACTGGACACAAAAGGCTGTGAAACTGGGACAGGAAAAGGTGATCGCAGGGTCCTGGCTGTGCCCCAGCAGTTCTGCTTGCTTTGTTGGCCATGCCCGTGATGTGTACAAGAGTGCAACTGCGAAAACAGACATTGCTCAGAAAATTGGCTGCAGTATTGCAGAATTAATAAGGCACCGATCAGAGCCTTCTGTCTGAAGAAGCTGGAGTTAAAATCAACATGGTGTCACCTGCAACTGTGCCACATACTCTTTTATTTAACTGCACTGCTTTTTGGATTGCCTCTCTGTCATGCACACACTCATTCTGCTTTTATTACACCTTTCCAATGGAGGAGAAAACAAAAGCTCAGCCTATCTGAATTAGGAGAAAGTGGGACTTGGTTGTATGTGGGAAGGTTTCAAACCCACTTTCTCAAGCGAAAGAGCCCAGCATGAACCACAGGCAGGCAGCCAGACCTGGGGACGCTGGGGAACAATCTCAGCTGTTTGGGGTCTCTGACTCACAGTCCAGCCTAGCCCAGGCCAAAATGCCTTTGAGGAACCTGCCAAGGAGAAGTGAGGTGTCTAAGCACCATGTATCATCAAAAGCTAATGCTCTGGCTGTACAAGTGCTTCGTATGGTTAAATAACTCCATATACTGCTCTTGTAAACACCAGATAATCTGAAATGATGCCATGAGTCCACAGAAAGCTTTTATGCTTTGCTTGGGTAAAGCTTTGCTTACATACAGTTTCCCTTGTGCTGAAGGGGAGCTCAAGGCAAGAGACAGCTTCCAGATGAGGCTGTGCATTCTTCCCTGTCAAGAATTATCTATTGGTTTCTGATGAGAGTCTGTTGGAGAAGTTTGGAAGCAGCAATACCCAGAATAAAACCTACCTTCCTGAGCTGGTTGTGGTTGTCTCATTTTAAAAGGTTTTTTTTGCCTGAGGGAAACTTAGTGTCAGTATCTTGGAAGTGTAAGGACTGAGGGTGGGAATAGGTCTCCAAACTGGGTTGTCTATGGCTTGGTTAAGGAGTTGTTGCGTCTCATATACTTAGCTGTGGGCTGTTACTTGTGTAACAGGTGAAAAAATGCAGCTTGCTGCAAGTACTCTGAAAGTTAGGAAATTTGCTGGATCGGTTCCTTTGGCCACTGGAGGTGTTCCCTTCAGTGTTCATTTCCATAACATATGCGGTTTCTGTGCAGAGGTCAGGAGCACCTATTGCACTCGTTCTTCTGCTCTCCTTGCTTTTGTAGCTTTAGTAGTCCAGGGGAGAAAAAGGAGAGAAACCTCCTTGTGAAACCATGCAGCTGTCATGTCTTCCTCCTGCAGGCACATCTCCTTCAAAAGGCACCTTCCTCGGCAAATGCACGTATCCAGTGTGGACTACGGCATGGATCCACCAGCTGTGGCTGAGCAGCCAACCAGCATCGGTCGCATTAAGCCTGAACTCTATAAGCAAAAATCTGTTGACTCTGAGGACCCCAAGAAAGAGGCAGCAAAAACCTGTGGGAAAATTAACTTCGCTCTCAAGTACGACTATGAGAATGAGACACTGACTGTCCGAATTCTCAGGGCTTTTGACTTGCCAGCCAAAGACTTCTGCGGCAGCTCAGATCCCTATGTGAAGATCTACCTCCTGCCTGACAGAAAGCGCAAGTTCCAGACACGAGTCCACAGGAAGACTCTGAATCCCACCTTTGATGAGTCCTTCCACTTCCCTGTGCCCCATGAGGAGCTGGCAAGCAGGAAGCTCCACCTGAGTGTCTTTGACTTTGACAGGTTCTCCAGACATGACATGATAGGAGAAGTTATCTTAGAGAACCTGTTTGAGGCCTCAGACCTTTCCCGGGAGACTTCCATCTGGAAGGACATTCAGTACGCAACAACGGTGAGTATCTGCTTTGGAGGGTCTTCCCTGCCCAGGGAGCGTTTGCAGTGCGGTGATGCAGTGTGCCAGTGGTACCTGTGTGTGTGGCAGACAGGTACCAAGTGTGTGGTGAGCAGCTCCAGGGCAGGATGGGTTGGGAATCTCCAAAGGGCTGGACTGCCTAAAGGGGTAAGTCCTGCACAGCTGCCAGCTGATGGGTTTATTGCCTCCCTGCAGATGGTACTGTTAGCCCTGGGGACCTACAGCCATCGCACGCAGGGGTGGTGAGGGCTGTTGTACTCAGAAGCCTGTTGGCTTTACCAGAATCCCAGTTTACTGGAATTTTATCCCCTTACTTAGTGACTTGCTGTTATCTCACCCACAGCGAGTCTCACTGATAACAGGTTTGCTAAAAAACAACTGAGGGGTTCAGTATGTTCCTTGTCTGGCCTCCCATTGACAAGTGAAGGGCCTCAGGTTCTGGTTGTCTGCCACGTGCACATGATAACAGTAAGAAATATCTCTGGAGGGCCACTACCAACCCACCGGAGGTACTGGGCTTTACTGTACTGAGAGCGTTGTCCGATGTATTGCTGGCAACTCTTCCAGAGCTTGATGTGGGTCTTTTAGTAGTTCTGTTGAATTCCCTTTGAAAGTGAAGCCAAGCATCAGAGAATGAAATGTCCCAGCCACTTTCAGTGTTGCAAGTAGCTGGCAAGAGAAGCCACCTTCTCACATTGATCGCTGAGTGCAGAAGCAATGACATTAACCTCTACATAATAGCTGTCTGCTCCTCCACTGTCCTCCCAGGATGACCTGGCTGGTTCTGAGGGCAAACAAAAGATTGAACTGCTTTACATTTGGACACCAAGTCAGTCATCATCTTTGTCATTTTATGTTGTTATTTCTGAAACTGGAATATGAGATGTCCTCACCCCTGTGGCTGAAAGCATGGGCCCTGTCAAATTTTTCCTAGTGATTGGCATAACCCCGTGACTTGCAAAAATCTGTCCTGCAACTTCCTTTGTAGCTCATCTCATACCTTTGCTCTCCTGCTTTCTGTGTTGGGGAATGAACTGTCCAAATAATAGAAATGTTTATTGCATTGTGGTCAGCAGTATCAAAAGACGTTTGCTTTTTAACTCTCTGCAGCTTTTTTCTCAGTACCATGTTCCTCACTAGTTGTACCCCTTGGTCACTACTATTAGTGCTTGTTCTTTCATTGTAGTGTCTTCATAGTGTCTTTCTAAAAGAGCTGTGAGGTCTGACATGCATGTGCAGCACTGCTGTTGCTGCTGTTGTGCCGCAGCTGGGACCTGGTGCGGCAGGGCCCGGGCACTGTGGGGAATATGGTGTGCGAGCAGCGTGTTAGCCCTGGTGGGTAGCTCTCAGGCTAGCAGCTGCCCTGGCAGGGCACCGAGAGCAGCCATCATGCTTCTGTGGCAGTACAGCTTTTGCCATGCCTGTCTAGGGACACTGAGATCTATGTGATGCCTTCCAGGTACCCCAGGGCATTGCTGGGAGCAGTGTTGCCTTTTGAGCATCTTGCCTGCAAGCGGGGTGGGAGGAAGGCACAGGATCAACCACAAGGAAAGTCAATAGTATTAGTTAGCAGGGTGTTTACAGCTCTTGGCTTTCACTCCACAAATAGCCGTGTCTGTTATGATTAATGGGTGGTTATGAAAAGACCAATGCTGGCGAAGAGGCAAGAAGGCATCAGGCACATCCATTCGCCTGGCAAAAGGTTGCTAGGAGAGGAACAAGGTGCATCACACGTGCAGATGCCTCTTGGAGGCATCTACCCGTTTGCATCTGCTCTGCCTCTGAGGCTCAGCTTTCTCTCAGTCCTGCCAGGCTGGCTGTGATGTGCCATGGTATTGAGTCCTGGGGTGAATTCACTTGTGTGGTGGCAGGGAGTTTCCCTTTCCCTGCCTTATGATCAGCATATAAAGAGTGTGGTAAGCCTGAAGAATCTGGGGGGAAAAGACCTGTGGTCAGGAGTGAAACTGGGAAGGGTTAACACTTGGTCTGTCTAGAGGAAAAGCACAAAACCCACGAAGCTGCAGGAGAAAGTTATGGAGTTTTTAACCTGTGTATGTTCTGTGTTTTGCTGGGATGGTTCTGCAAGAAATAGTGTATGTTTTCCTAGCTAAGTAAACTAATTTAATGGGGAAAAAAATCCCACAAAAACAGGTGGAGAGACACCAACAGAAGCGTTGTTGAGGGAAAAGCCTCCAAAGAAGGTGTGAGAAGAGCAGAGCCAGCATCATGCCCAGGATGCATTGTGTAGCAGTCTTGCAGAGCTGCCACAGAAACATCGAGTGCCACATTTGGCTCTGTCCCCTCATTCTCTCTATGCCATTCTTTGGTAATGGGTCAATATTGGTACATCTTAGCCAGTTGTAACACACCCAAGGACATTTCTGTTTAATCAAAAACGAGAAGGGTAAATACAGTTTTCATAATACCCAAGGAAAGCTCTGACTAATAATACATTAGATCAATCATGTGAGTAAGAAGATAGGAACGTACTTAAGCAATGATATAAGCTATTCAAATAGCTAGCACTCAACTATTCAATTAATGATTGTACAGCTCGTGAATCAGTGAAACATTTTTGGTTTCCAGTCTGCAAAGGTTATTGATTCAGAGCTTCCATTATTTCCTAAGAGGTACTGATATGAATTTTGGAAATTTCCCAATGTCTATAATCTGCAAGAAAATAATGTACCCACAGGACATGTTTTACTCTCCTGTATTTATCGTTGCAAAGAAAAATCTCTTGACCTAATACAATGAGGTCAGAGAACAATTTATGTTAGTTTTATACCCTGAACAGGTCCTCTCAGTGCAAGAAGAATAGAAGGTGAGATGATGCCCAGAGGGAGCTCTCACCATCTCATATAGGGCTGCTTTTTTCTGACATCTGTGGCCAAGGTTTCCTGCCCTTGTCCCTCCCAAACCAGCACAGACCAAAGAACAAATGAAAGAACAGACCCAGCCCAGTGTGGTGTCTGGATGCCAATTGCTGTTGCACTGTGCAGTGGACACAGTGTCCAGTGCAGCCAGCACACAGTGAGATTCAAGTGCTCATTTCTTTGGGAATAGAGCAACCATTTCAAATCATAACTTCAGAATATTTATTTTAAATTCTTTTCTATTGACAGTAAAGTCTATAGCTAAGACTGGTAGATGCGGTGTCTGTTTGGAGCTGGAGACACTTAAGTGAAAAGGTATAATCCCAGTCCTCAAGCTTAGTTCTGATGCAGTGGCAGTGTTTGCAGCAGGTTCCAGACACTTGTTGCGAAGTGCCTCCTCAGTGCACAGTTATTTTTTCAGGCTCTTTGTTATGTAAAGTATTTAACCTTAAAAGAGGAACCGTATCTCTAAAAGTAACAAGAAGTGTCATGTTTTAAAAAGCAAATTGTAATTTCCAGCACACGATTTTTGAGTGGTCATTTTAAGACACTGTAAATGAATGGGGCTCCATAAAATACTGAGCTCCTTGTCCTCTGAAAATTGGCCACATTGGAGTCAGGCAGCAAGAACTGCAGCTCAGCTCAGCTCTCAGGGTGCGGGTGACACCAGAGGTAAAACTCCCAAACGTTTTGGAGTGCTCAGTGGTTTTGTTCATTGCTGCTCTATCTCCAAGACAACAGCCTGACTCCAGCGCACCCATTATATTCAAGGTCCCGTAGCTGAAATACAGTCAAAAGTTAGAAGCTGCAGGGGCTCTAAAAGCTCTTTCATGTGTGATGAAAATGATCCTGGTACCTTAATAAGGTACCATTAGTAATATCTTATGAAGCAAGAAATATAGCTCCCAGTAGACATGTCAAGAGGTACTAAAGGTAGAGGAATAATAACTTAGTAAATGTTTCCACATACTTCATTACTGGTCACTGACTATGCGGCTGTGACTCGAGACCATTTTGTCACATTGGAAGGAAAGCTGTTTAGGATGCCATTGGTTCATTAAGGTGAGCAAGAGATCAGAGTGGGAACTTTGAGTGAGTGAGAGTATTAAACTTTTATTTACCAACAAATAGCACCTTCTGAGACAACATTTGTTTGGATACTTACAGGTCTAGCCATACATTGTTCTGTCCAGAAAACATTTGGCTGCCACTGTTTCTTTTGTACGCTCTATGCTTGAGAAGATTTTCAATTTATTTGCTAGTCAAGTGAAGTCTTGTCAAGAATCAACACTTTTATATAATGTTCATTAGTATTCTGCACGTCTAAGTGGAATAAATATCTAATCTTTGCCTTACCAGAGAACGAAAAGGAAATCATTTGGCAAAAATCTGATCCATCAACAAGATCTATTCTCCTAACACTTAGCAAAGCTTTAAGTGCCTAATGCATTTACTTGTCTTTCTAGTTCCATCACTCTACTACTAACAGCTACAATTTCTATTCAGCAGATCATTATATCCCATTGTAATGAATCAAACACTCTGTTTCCAAAAATAATCGGGTTGTTTGCTCTACAGATGTGGGATCTGTATGTACAAAATAAGATTTATTTTTTTTTAAATCCATTTTTGGAAGGTGTTTGGAAATCTTTCTGCTGACTTCAGATGATAATGCTTTCTAGTTTAAATAATACTTTGGGTTTGTGGGGTTTTTTTTTCCTGAATTCCCATGAGCAAGGCAATGATGGAATGGGCTTTTAGGAGGTTTAGTAGATAAGGCTGCATGTACAAAAGGTGTTAAGAGTGATGTGTAAAAGTTATTTTATGGGGCACTAAAAGAGTAAATTGTATTGGCCTCTGTGTAATCCAGAAATGACAAAATGTTTCTGAGTGCCATCTGCTGGTTAATTCACTATTTATATACATACATGTACATGCCTCATACTGCGTTTGTTAGCTCTTTGAAGGCATCTCAAAGGGGTTGGTGGTCCAAATGATAGTAAGCATGTCACAATCTAAAAGCTTAATTGCCACTAAATGGGGGCCTTCATGGTTCTCTTCTGTTTTAAAGCTATGACCCCCTGGTCGTAACTAACTACCTAGTAATTCACGCTCAACTTCAGAGAAAATCACTGTGTAACTCAGAGAGATCTGCATTCTCTGCCGAAACATTAGGCACCAACGAAGTCCACAAACCTCTATTACTGAACCGAAGGCACTGGGTGTACTAGAAAGTCACTCATTGACTTTGTTGCAGTGTACAACCAGAGAACATGGCACCGCTGCATGTTAAGGTCTCACCTTTCTGTGATCTTGCTCTGTGTTTGTATTACATCCCTCCATTTGAGGAAATAGATGTTAGTGTCACACACTTGGCACTAGAAGATATATACTGTACATTCAAGCAAAACTTGATACTAATATGATAACTAATATGATTTCCTTAATGGCCTTCATGTGGTGTTAGATATCACTTCACTTCTGCATAAGCAATGAAGCAGAAAAAGAGGAATGCATTAGCTGTAATGTTGCAATAGGGAGCACATACTCCACTACGGCTTCCACAGCAGTGGAAGATTATCCTTAACTATGATTTGAAGCTGTAACATTTGGACACACATTTTTTTCCTGTTCCCTATATTCATTTTTAGCCAAATAATGTTGGGATACACTGGAAGCACCGCCATATAATAAAGTGTCATTCATTTGAAAACCACAGAATAGAGAAAAGCCTGTTTCAGTGTGCGTGCTGCATGAATCCTGCATGAAACATTGTGGTGGAGGGTGGAGGCAGCCTAGCTGGTTCTTGCATGTTTCCAATACATGTGTTCTCTGTTTTATTAAAGGAAAGCGTGGACCTGGGAGAGATCATGTTTTCCCTTTGTTATTTGCCAACTGCAGGTCGCCTCACCTTAACAGTCATTAAATGCAGGAATCTCAAAGCTATGGATATCACTGGTTACTCAGGTAGGTGCTCGGTGGCTGAGGACCCCACTGCATCCACACTTCTTCTTCCGCCCTGAAGGTGGCCTCAGTGGAGAGCGGGCATAGGTCTCTTGATGCCAAGGATATATCATCATGGAAACATCTGACAAAGCTTTGTCCATGTTTTAAGTACAAACAAAATTTTAAAAGTAGAATTATCTTTTAAACCTATTCCCAAGGGTATGAATCCAGGGAAGGTGATTATATACGTGCATATACTAGTCAAGGAGACTGCCAGCAGTTTCCCATCCCCACTGAAGGGTTTGCAGGGTCAAAGCTCTGATCCATCTCTTAGGTTGGACACTGCAGATCTGTTGCAGATACTGACCCTAGCAGTTTTATGTGAGTAGGGCATTTTTGATCAGATAACCCCCTGCAGCCAGAATCAATCATTTCACTCCAAGATTAGGAAAGGATCGTAGGCCACCTGGGATTTACCCAGGTGAATGTGCATTCCTCTGTACAGTGGCCAGTACTCAAACAATAGAATCAAAGTCACCTGAAGACTGTATGCATTCACAGTTCCAGAGAGCTGGCTTGCAAATTCAGCATGCACAAATTCTGGATGTCAACATAAAAAGCAGTTTCTTTTCCTGAGATCAACATCACAGTATTTGAATTTCATTGGTGACTTGTATAAAAGGCAGTAACAATACACTAAAAGATCTTCACAGAAAATATTCCTACTCAGTTGGAGCTTGATGCTGTATGAAATGTCTGAGAATTGAGACTTCAGATGAAGCCAGCTCAGTGTTTCTGTAATAATACATTGCACGTTTACTGTTACTTGAAAATGCATTGAAATCGCCTGGGCAGCCGTTACAGCAAACAGGAGCTATTTGTAACTTGAGGGCATTCTGCCATGATCAGCCAGTGGAAAGCATGTGAAACAGAGCTGCCCTAATACCTTTTCTTTCTGCTGCTCTCTGACATTGGGAAAACAGGTTTTAAAATTCCCCTACTCACTGTAACTGTGCTCCATATTGTTAGCAGTTGGATAGTTTTGGTAGCTGTGCAGGAAAGGATCCCTGTAAAATAGCCCCCTCTGCCTGTTTTGATTGTCAAAATGCTGCATTACAGTTTGCTCTGGTAGGCAAATTTTGAAAAAGTTACAGTTTTACTTCAGAGAAAGCACTAGGTTTGCTGTCTGTGGCCATGCAATTAATGTAAGCTAGAATGCCTGAGTACCCAGTGCCCACTATCATCTTCTGATGAATATTGGCTCTTGGTTTGAGATGGGGCCTTCTTACACTTGCAAACCCTTATCACAGAAAAACTGATGGAAACGACTGATTTTTCCCTCCAAGAAGTCTGTGGTGCTGGTTCTCCAGTGCCTGAACCTCATGTCAGCACTCACACCAGTATGAGAAATGGTGGATTCAACTGGTACACAGATATCCCTTTTTCTAAAAGTAGATTTGAGGAGTGCCTTTGGCTCATGGTAACTTACAGCCCATCCTTTGATAATGCTGTTTCTATATTGTGATGGTAACAAAATAAATTTCCATAAACAGAAGGTCTTTTGCTATCTCTTCCTCTCCAGATCCATATGTCAAAGTGTCTTTGCTCTGTGATGGGCGAAGACTGAAAAAGAAGAAAACTACCATAAAGAAAAACACACTTAATCCCACTTACAATGAAGCAATAATCTTTGACATTCCCCCAGAAAACATGGATCAAGTCAGTCTGCTTATCTCCGTCATGGATTATGATCGGTAGGTGGAGGCTCTGAAGAGTGGGAAGGGAAAATACCCCGTTGGGTGCAGGTTTTCCTGCTCATTAGCCATTTTCCTTAGTATCAGGGCCTTGATTGCACAGCTCTGAGGCATCAATCTGTCTCTAGTGATTTATTGTTAAAGTGTCATTGATAATTATGGTTATAGAAAATTACCTGTTAGAATAGTTAGTATGGTAAAGCTGGTCCTTTGCTTTATGACATTCTCCTGAGTGAGTACCGTGTTCTCCTTTGCTATTTGCTTGTCCTGCAAATCATCATCCCATTTTAGAAGGCAAATGGTCTCACTCTGAGCAGCAATTGGTGCACGGATTATCCATTACTGAACTTGTACTTATTCTTGGTGTACACCACTATGTCACACATCCTTCCAGATTCTGTATCTGGACTGATCTACAGTTCAAATCTTTTTAAAGTTGTTATAATTATTTCTGGTGACGGCAGTGCCTCACTGTGCTGGGGGCTGCATGTGCTGACATTAGCAGACAAGACCTGACTATCATCGTGCAGATATGACAGCCCATGTTCACTAGCACTGTGCCTTGTGGCACTGTGGTAACTTGATGTCAGAAGTCTTGGTTAGACAGTGTATGGGCAGTCTGAGCGAGATGTTGCTTTTCTGCTGTTCTTCAGAGTGGGTCACAACGAGATTATTGGGGTTTGCCGTGTGGGGGTCAATGCTGAAGGACTGGGCAGAGACCACTGGAATGAGATGCTGGCATACCCACGCAAGCCCATCGCGCACTGGCATCCATTAGTGGAGGTAAAGAAGTCTTTCAAAGAGGTGTGTGGCATTATTCTTTCCTTTTAATGCATGCACTGTGCATGAGTGAGCTGGTTCAAGGCTTTCAGAGAGCTTCTACTCTCACTTGGGATTTTCTGACAAGAGCTGAGGGAATTTTCTCACCAGAAATGAACTCTAGAAAACAAGCACTTCTGTATTGTCTTGAAATAGCTCCTTGAGCTTGCAAGCAAGAACGAAAGGGACTGTATTTACAGATGTGACTGTTACTGTATTGGTTTTTTTTTTTTTTTTTTCTTTTTTTTTTTTTTAATTAGAGATTGGGAGCAGTAAGGAAAGAGAATGCTGTTCTGATTGCAGAACAAATTGTCCAGGGATATCGCCTATTTCAAGTTTCAATTTTTTCATCCTAAAAGATTTTTCTGCTGACTCATCTCCAAGCCTTTGAGGGAGAATAAATAGAACAAATGTAATTGCTCTAAGCATCTCCAGAGAAAGAGATTCACTTGATGGAGCCCCAGATGATAAAATAGGGCTGAAATGCCTGGGTACCATTTTGACCATCTCTAGCATTTTTTTCCTCCTTGCACTCCATTTTCTCATGCTCCTATAGACCTCTTTTTGGGTTTTGCCTGATTTAGGTCATAAATTCTGGAGGAGAGAGATGTGGAAAATGGCACGCATGCTATTGACACTGCAGGTATGAAAAGAAAGCCAGCATTTGTGGCCAGTGATAGTATAATAAAGGCAATAAAACCTCCTATTGTATCTGGGGCTAAGGAGGCATTTTCCCTCAAAGCCACAGACTACATAACAAAAAGCATCTTATTTTCCCCTTGAAATTCAGATACTGAGGCCTACTGGAATGCAGGTACTAGGCTTGGTGATCATTCACAGTAGTCTGAATTAGGATGCATCAAACCCTATGTTTCTTTGAAATCTGCTCTTTCCTCTAACAAGAAAGCAGTTTGTGCTCCATGCTCTCCAACCCAGCTCATATTCATCAGGCTGGTTTCTGAAATTCAGACGTGCCCATCCCGGAGGCAGGTCTGCTTCTTCTGCAGGCTTCTTTCTTTCTCCAAGCATTTGTAAGCAGCCGCCATGTGAGGTGATGCCAGCCACCCGAGCAGAGCTCTGCAATGGTTTTCATTACTGCTGCATCCCTTGGTGGGCATTTCTCTATCGTAGATGAAATGTGGCCATAGGACCCTGTCCAGAGCAAGGGTTTATCAGAGGAATATTCTCGCTTCCTGGATCCAGGTCAATTACACCCAGTGGGAGAACCTGGCAATTAATATTTTAGTTTAAATCACAGTGGTAATACACATACCAGATAATGTATGAGGTATTTTGTGATCTCATATTGCACCACTGTAAATCGGGAGTAACCACCCAGGTCAGCTGTGCAGAACTGGTGTAAATCAAAACAGCATTAAACTGATGTGCAATTTGTGTATAATGGCAGTATTGCCTTCAGATGGTAAGCAGTAAGTACCAGGCTTTCATTAGCCTTTCCATGCTACAATACTGGCATCGTGCACGTGAGCCATAGCTGTCTGGGCAGGCAACATATGCCACCTCACGCTGCCACGGAGAGCTGGGGAGCAGTGACTGCTGAGTTTCAGCATAAATGCTTAGCAATGTATCATTTGATCAGTTAGCTCAATGTCTGTATCATCTGTAGCACCTCACAGCATGATACCAGCTGCCATGTCTGACCCAGGGGCAGGAGTTCCTTCTCCAGTTTGTAATTTACATGACTTTACTATGCTATTTCTCAGATGCAGGTGGGAGTTTGAAAGAAAGACTCCTGTAAAGTTTTTGATAATCTCCTATTGATTAAAAAAAAAAGACATAATTATTGTGACGAAACTCAGAGAAACAAAGGAAGGCATGTAAGATGACTCACCTTCTAAAATATACTTTGAAAACCACTGCTGAGCCCCCAAGACTTTGGAAAAAAACCCGAGTGAATCAGTTCACCCCCTAGTGCACAGGTCAGGAGCTCTGCTTAAAAGAAAAGAAAAAAAAGCCTCTGATCATCTGTTCTGGTATTTCTGCCACAAGCTGGTGCACATAGCCAGCAAATAAATGGTCCCTGTATTTATTTGCCCTTTTAAGTTTTAGCACTGCTGTCTGCAAATCCCTAGTGCAGCTTAGAAAAAAAAAACCAAACAGCAGAGGCACAGGCTCCTGGAGAGAAATTAATGGGAAATGGTATTTGTTGGTTACAAGTAATTGCATCATCTTTTCCATATGTGCTTGTGCATTTTTTAAAAGCAGCTTGGGCTTTGTATCCTGTATCATCAGCTCTGGGTCTCCACGCACATTGAGGCTGTCCCGGGCTCTGTCAGTCCAGGCCCCGTGGGCTTGCCAGCTCCCCGGTCCATCTGCCCTTGAATGCAGGTGCTGGGGGAGAAGCTGCTGACCCCCCCCACCCCTTTTCCGCCCTTGTATCTTCGTGGGGGTGAGCTCAGGCTGTGCTGGCATCCCGAGCGGTCATCTTCATCTTCACCTTCACCTTCAAGAGCGTTGGCAGCTGGGCACCAGCAAATGGAGCATTTGCTTTCCAGGTGATCCTCACGCTCTTCTGTTTGCTCTAGCGATTAGTAACAGCCTCCGCTCTACTTCAGTGTCTTTCCTGGTTGAGTGCTTGATCTTAAACTGAAAGCAAGAAAGTTAGGATTGAATTGTCTTTTTGAATGTATAAATTGAGCGGTGGATGACTGGAGCTGTTAACCCGGGAGCACAGAGCTGCTCTGTGCCTGCTGCCATCGCCCCCGTGCCGCTTTGCAGCTGGATGTCCTGGCCCCCTCCGCTCACCACGCAGCTCAGGACTGCAGATGGGTGAAGAAAAGGGTGGGGAATCTGGAATTTCCTTCTACATGCGTACTGCCCTTCCTGGTATGCTTGAAAAAACTCTGGCCAAAAAAAGGGGCTTATGCCATATTTTGAGTACAGCTTAGAATTACAAGTTCTGGTGAAGTTACCAGGAAAACCGTCACCAGACATGTGTTGCACCAGGAGGATGGACTGGCCCCGGCCCCTCACTCCCCGCCACAGCAGTGTGGGATGGACAGACGGACGGATGGCTGGATGCTGCTGCCCTTGGGGTACCGGCCTCCTCCTCCGTTGTGGGTATGGTTCCTTACCCGTCCAACATGAGGACCCTGGGAAGCATCAGGCCTGTTCCACCAGCCGCCATGCTGTGCTAACACAGCCCAAAAACCTAATTTCTGGGTTGGCAGCGAGACTCAAGCCCTTTCTCTGTGAGCCAGTGTTGCTTGCTCTTCTCTTTTGCTGCTGGAGCCTTTAGGGAAACTTGCTTCTGTTACACTTCATGTCTTTGGTTGCTCCATATTTATCAACAGTGAGTAGCAAACTGTAACGACTGCACTTCTTTTATGACCATCATCATTAAAAAGAGAAAATGTGCAAATGAATCATTAATTACAGGCTTCTAAGTACTATCCTCCTCATACTGCCATTTACAAGGAGTTTGTGAGCAGAAGATGAGAATCCCACTTGCTGTTGCATTTTGAAGTTATGGTGACAATAAACTCTTGTCCTCAGCACAAACCTGTTCCCATTTTTCAGCCCTGAGGTCCTGCTGGCACCTGCTGCCGTGGCCTCGGCCTCCTAGGTGTGCTTCAGCCATCCCACCCATTGCCATTTCTTCTGCATTTCTCAATACATCCATCAGCCATGTTAACTGACGTGTCTATAAAAAGAAATATAAAACTACAGTGCGTCTTTCCAGACTTTGAAGGGGACTTCTGAAAATTGGAAATTTCTCTGTTATCTATGAAAGACAAACTCTGTCTGATATTGTAGAGTAGCATCATCAGTGCAATGCAAAATGAGTCTTTGATGTTGCCAAGTACCTCTGACATTCAGCATGAGGAGCATTTATTTTTTTAAAATGTTTCTCCAGATAAAAACTGATAACTCTGCTGAGACCTAAGTCATGCCCATAATGAAGAACAACCATTTATCTTTAAAGATATGCAAAACCAGCCTCTTCCAGACTCTTGGGCATGTTTGACTTTCATTGAACTGTTCCTAGTTTCTGACTATTAATTACACAATGGATGGTTCACCTTTTTGGATTAAAGGAAGGAAAAATATCTGCAGGTACCTCATGGCACACCGGTTACCTGAACCTACTCTTGGAAGAGTTTTCATCACATTTTTGGGGTAGCAAACATTGTCACTGTAACTGCAGGCAGAACAATGCAAGGAACATGTTGAAGACTCTGCCAAAAGCCCATTTCTATTGTAATTTCTGCTTACCTGCTGTTTTATTGGTAATTCTCCTGGGAGGCTGTATCCATGTTTTCAATTCCTCAGGGATTTTAGCAAATACATTTGACATGAGAAACACAGAAGAAACTGTTTTCTTACCTGAAGGTAGCCTGTTTGGAAGGAGAAGCCGTCCAGCTTCTTCATTCATCAATTTCTCACTCAGCCCTGATTAAATATAGTTTGTATAATGCAGACCTGTGTGCGGTGAGTTACTTTACACTGACTGGTCGCTTTGGGAAGGAAATTGGCCAAATTCTTGACCCTATCTCTGCCCCTACATTGTAACCATCAAAACCCACACTTGTGAAGCGAATTACAAAACCAGCCTCTGCCAGCTGGCTGCAAATGAACGTGAACGTGCTCTGTGTGGTGCACGGGCAGACCTGACCCCGAAGGGGCCAGCGCTGATGAGCAGCTGTCCCGTGGACAGCAGACCTGGTGGCATGTCACAGACCGTCACCGAGGGGGACCTGCAGGGCGATGCACCCCGGGAGCCGTCAGGAAGCATGGCTGCCCCAGCCCCGTTGTTACTGCTGACACTGACGGCATCTGCAAACGGTTGTCTGGCTTGTGCAGCCGTCCTGTGAGCGCCGTGCAGCTGTCCTGTTCTCCCATTTTCAGTTGAGTTTCATTTGAAATGCCTTTGCCAAGGCAAGGGTGAAGTTCAATTTGCCGAATGAGTTTTCACCCATGGAAGTGAACACGCTAGAGCATTAATATTAGCCAGCAAAGTGGTTTTGCTTATGTAGGAGCGGAAGGAATTGATCCATGGGGAGAACAAAGCAGTGGAAATACTATGCCTCCTGTTGTCTCTGGGAGATGTCTATCATTTGTCATTTGAATTTAATAAAACAAGATGGTAAGATGGGCAAGTACTCAAAAGCTTCAGGAGTAATGGTTTTGAATTATAATAATAGCCCCCAAGGCAGAGGAGTAATAATTTATGATCCCGTAAGTATGACAAAAAGATATTTGCTACATCTACTAACTCTCCGATCTGATTTTCACTTTGAGAAATGTCTCTGGCACTGTGGACATAGCTTCTGTGGAGTAAAATTACCAGACTGGAAAGACTCAAGTAATTTTGCCATTAAGCAGTATTTCTAAAACAAAAAGGCAACAGCACTAAACCAGGAAACAACAGAAAGCGAAACTCAGAGCAAACTTTGTCTTCATAGCACACACAGATACTGTTTATTTTTCCTTTTTTGTGAGCAGTCCTCACGCTTGCGAATTGATTTACAAAGCAATAAAGTAAATTGTTCAGTAATTCTTCCTGAGTGGTTAAACACAGGCATGCAGTAATTTGAAACATGCTGTAGAGCAAATGAGAATACTGCAGAACAGGAGACAGGCAACAAGGTAAAGGAGTGGGAAGAAGTTCAAATAATCTCTCCCGTTTGCTTAGACTTGCTTTCTTTTTTCTCCCACCAGTGGCAAGGCCGGGCAGCGAGCTTTGACAGCCAGGGTTCCTGTCCCTCACCTAAACCACCACCCACACCATGATACAGAACACGGCGAGTAAAATGGGACTAAACCAAGTTATTTTTGCGCTTGGCCTACAGTCTCAGTAATTTGTTGCTGAGTGGCAGTGGCAGCAGCGAGACTTTCCAGTCTAGTTGTTCCTGTGTAAGTAAAGGCAGAAACCCGTTTTGTGGTCAAATATGTCTTTGTCTAATATGTCTCCCAAGGTGATGTTTTTTTTGTGGCTTTTACTGTATGGATCTGTTTCCAGAGGAAGAAGGTGGACTGAGACATGAGCTGGAAGTTTGGTCTGTAAAATAACATGTAAAATAGTTTTTAGTGTGCACGAAGACTGGAAAAGTGCAAAGATGCTCTGATAGTCTACAGACAGCACAGGTGGCCAGGAGAGGGGACATCTGGACCGGCCCTGCTGCACTGCCTGTGCCTGCTTGGAAGAGCAGCAGCAAAAGGCATGAGAGACTTCTGACCTGCAAGCAGGTCTTCACTCTTGTGGTCAGCCCAAATCCAGTGGCGTGTTCACAGGTTTCCTGTTCATGTAGAGGTGTTCATGAGGTGTTAGAAGTTTGTGCAGTGTGTATCCCCAAATCCTTCTGTCATATATAAAAATGCTGTTGATTCCTCAGGGGGGAAAACCTTTTTTTTTTTTTTTTTTCCCCTTGTATTTGAAGTCTCCCTAGAGTTACTTGCATGAACAGTTTCTTAAGACCCCTTCGTAGCTGCCACTCATTCTCCCTGTATATCACCACGTTCTCTGGAGTGGAGTGCAGAGAACTGCATTGCCACAGGTGGGGTTCCAGACATAAAGGGGGAAAGATGTTACAGAAATAGGTGAACGTGCTTGCATGAACATTAGATCTTTATTTCTGATATCATCCTAACATTAAAGGGTGAACAAAAGGGTAAAGGGAAATGCAGAAACACAACCAATACTCAAAAAAGCTTCCAAATCTTTTTCTTGAACTATCAGCACTTCCTTAACGAAAAAAGTTTCTAAGGCCCAATCTCCAGAGGAAGATCAAGTTTTGAAAAAATGAAACTTTGCTGGTTTCTTGGCTGCATAAGCCAAAAATGAAGTTATAACATCCCAAATACTAGCTTTGCAAATGCAGCTAAATCAGCCCATCTTTATCAGACACCTGCAGATATGGGACACTTTCTTATCATGGATTTTTCTCTGAGTTAATAAGTACATTAGTGCTGTTTGTTCCACTGTAATTAAATTAACTAAATGCAAATATTTTGGTTTTGAGTTAAAACAAAATTTGCTAGCAAGGCAGCCATTTCTCCTCGCATCAGGTTAGCAGAACTGTATACATTAGCCACAATCTTCAGGTCAGCTTCAGTTTCCATTTTCCTAAATGTCACAGCATGAGCCTTCACTGAACATCATGACTAGCAGAGAAGGGTATTTGTTTGCATTGTTTTTCTGGTTAAGATGAAACCTTTGTTCAGGGAAGGACAAATACATAATTTCTCATCACACCTTGTGTCTTAATTCTCTTTATGTGCCACATGCTATAGAAGAAGAAACTCAATAAAATTATTTTATTTGTATGTCTTGCCTTGTCTGGTGAAATACTTCCTCTTGTGAAAGCAGTAATTGTGTGTTATGTGATTTTAGATGGTTACAGTAATCACAGCGGATGCTATAAAATGTGATAATAACAGACCCTCACGTGGTATGAGGCACTGCAAGGGCAGACTGCGTGATTTGAAGCAGACGCTCCTTAGGCCATAAACTCTGCAGTTCTTGGTTGTCCTGGGACAATCAACACACATCCCCTGGGGAACTGCTGAGCACTAGTCACAGAAGAAAAAAATAATATTTCAAGCACTTACAGTTCATTGAAACAAAAAGGTGGTAAAACTGAATTAGCTTTCCAGCATAAAGAGTACTGTAAACTTTTACCAAGGGACACCGCTGAGGATGCCGCTTTCCAAAATAACCCATCCTTTCTGGGAATGTTCCAGGTCTTATGATGGGAAAGAGTTTCTAATCATTCAAAATAATTGACTTACAGTGGTGGATGGTTCAAGAACTGACCACAAGCCCCCTGAACCTCGACCTGAGCTGAACTGAGCCTCTGCTGTTTAATGTCATGAATTGGAAGTGCCTCTTGCAGGATTGCAGATCAAAGCACCTGTAACGCAAGACGTACCCAGCAGAAGCCACAGCAGTCCCAGCTGGATGCAAGGCTGGCACTTGACAATCATTAATTGCACCAACCCACTCCAATCCTTTTCTTTAATCCTGGCTTCTTGGCTTTTGGTGTTCTCTGTATAATCTCTTGTCTTTTATCCATTCTTCTTGTTATCTAGGATTTAGTCAAAACATACGTGGGGTTTGACACAAAGCTTCTATTTTTAATCCTTGCTTCACACAGATAATCAATTTCCACTCAATACTGGCTGTCACTTGCATTACTGGAAAACTGGATCTCACGCTAGTGAATAACACCCACGCCTAGGTGGCACAAACCCCTACACTTATATTTTAAATGCTGAGATTTTGCCACGTCCCTTGGTGAGGGGATAATCAAACCATTTTGTGTTTGTCATCGCCTCAGCGCAGCCACTCGGGAAGATTGGTCACACTAATGGAAACGAGATATACTGTACAAGTGCAAATATTTCCCTTTCATCTAGAGAGAGATTATAACTCTGAAAAGTAGCTAAGCCAGGCACAAGTGCCATCCCAGGATTAGTTAAGTTGCTCCTCACTTTCCATGCTATTCATACCTATAATAGTAACTCACAGGGCAGTTTAAATTATTAACAAGCAAAATAAGGAGGACCACCACAGGGCCATGTCCCGTGGAAGACTTTGCCATCATGGGATTTGCGCTCCTTTGAAAGTCACTGCAAGGCAAATTTCCCTCGCTAGAGGAGGATGCCTGCTGCCGTTGGTCCTGCTCAGAACCAGGTGGCTGCTCAAGGGCCTGATGTGCTGTGCCAGGCTGATGGCAGCGTGCCAGGGAGAGTGGTGCCGGGCGGCCAGAGGCACCTCCTGATGCACGGATGCTGGACATGCAGGCTGGAGGAGGAGATGCTCACAAAACAAGTACTGGCTACTGGTCACTTTGCAAAGTCTGCAAGCAGCCACAAATGAATAGTCTATTTTATTTTGAGTACTGCAAGCAAAATAAACACTCATGAGCATTCCCAGACCTTCCCCCCCCCTTTTTTTTTCCTTTCTTTTTAGTTTTAGTCTCACAGTGTCCAATTTCATAGAACAACAACTGACTGCAGGAACAGTAAGAGACACTGAATTGAGGGCTGCCATTTAAGGACTGCTAGTTTAATGATGGGGACACAGGGAGGAGTGAATCCCCATGGGTCCATTGCACTGCTCATTACAAGGGGTTGGAGGGCTGAGGTACTGTCCCAGCCAAGTGCCCTCCCACTGATTTGAGAATAAAATAACTTGGTATATGAGAAAAAAGTGAAAAACGCCCAATGGAAATTGAGTTTCAGCCATGGTGAAGCTCTGCTCTTCAAGCTGTGCAGGAGGCTGGGCTTCCAAGCTGATTGCATTATTGTGTGATTTTTTTCATACATGAGCAATGCATGGTTTGTCAAAGAGAAGAATCTTGTCATAACAATTTATATTTATTCTCCAAAAATGGCCTTTAATTTCTAATTATAGAATGCTACTCACACATAGGCAATCACAAAAAAAAAAGCCACTGAGGAAGAAAACCACTGTGGTTTTATAGGGTTTTAAGAAATAAATAAACATGCTCTGTAACTGTCTTAGAGGAGGAAAAAAAAATTAAACGCAATACTGATGTTGAATGTGTGTGTGTGTGTCACAGCTGCCATATTAAGGTTGGCTATGTGTCTGCCCCTTCTACAGTTGTGGATCACATTCTATAGGAAGATTTTGTACAAATTTGAACAAGACTCACAAACTCTACAAGGATGCCAGGAGCCAGAGGGAGGGACTGACAGAGTGGGGGTTTTTGGACTCTGGATCACAAATCACTTAACTCCATGCAGCCTCACTGAAGCCATTAGGATGCTGGAACCAGCAGACAGGGCAGGCACAGGGACACATGGGATGTTCAGTATTCCTGGATCACTCGGTGGTTGTCTCCAACGGTGACAGCATCGGCCGCCCCAAAGGGTGACTCAGTGGCGACAGACACAGGTTTCTGGGCACGTGGACGACTTGAGCTGACCTGTGCCCACTGTGGGCTCAGCGGAAACTCTCTAGCAGGATCAGCTTTGTGTGCTTTATTTTAAACTTTATTCTATTTCTTTCAAAACCTTTTATTTACATGTAATTCTTGAGTAGCCTATTAAGAGATGTAATCACATATACCCAACCCCATACATGTGCCAATCCTACTTCAGTCTTTAGTCCAAGTACCTTCAGCCCAGATACTTTTGTCTTCACTTATGAGGTAATAAATTAGACAGCAAATTATAGCTCATTTAGAAAAGTACAGCCCCATTCTTTGAGATCCTGATCTCAGTTGTCTATTTGCTCTTCATTTTTTCTACTTTTGTTATTTGCCCTCGTAATCGTCTCTCTAATCTAGCAGTCCTAGACTTCTCAGTCTCATTTTGCTAGAGGTTTTCTCCCCCAGGGCCCTGATCATTCTTCCTGCCGTTAAGATTATATATATATCAGCACAGTTGCACATTTATTTAAATGCCGGGTCAGGGATCTAATATCTAGTTATGATGCATCATGCAAGGATGACCTCCCTGGGACTAGAAAGTCTGTTTGTCATTTAGACGGAGTCACAGCTTCTAGATGCACAAACCCGATTGCTTTACTCACTTTGATCTCTGCTTACACAGCTTCTGCCGGGGCATATGGGGCTGGGGTGCACGGCCCGGGCAGCAGCTGTCCCACACTGGCCCCATCTGGCATGAGTCCCAGTGATGCCATGATCTCCAGCACGCCGTGCCCAGTAAACCTGGGTCATGTCAGCTTCAGCGTGGTGGGGACCCCACGGAGGGCAGGCTTTCGGGTGATGTCTGTCTGCTTTGCAGCAGCCGGTTGCCATCGGAGCTGCTCACCTGCCCTGCGGGAGGACACAGCCCCAAGACACTTCGTCTTGGACCAAAGATCTCATCATGAATGCGAATACACTTTTTCTTAAATGTCTCCACAG